TTCATTTACATTTCAGTTTATTCTCTTTCTTTTTGAAATATAGCTGCAGCTGCCCTTGTCAATTTTTGCAAGTAGTAAGTGCAGCGTTAGTAAATCACAATTAATCTATTAAATTTAAAAAATTTACCAGTATTAACAAATGCAAAATGTTCTAAGCTTTTTTCTTTTTAAACATCACTTTCATGTAAAATAATTATACTGATATAAATATAAATAATACATAGAGATATTATATCTTATATAAATTATATAAAAAATATTATATGAAACACATATATTAATAAAAAATATATAAATATATATATATATAAAATATATATAAATATATTATATGTTTAAAAAATATTTCACATTACTTATAAATGATAAATATTTTTTGTAAATCTAGACCATAGAAAACAAAGATATATATATATATATATGTATGTTAAAAAAAATATAGCTGTCAAGTTTCAGAATATATGTATGTTTCGTTACTGTGATTTTTTAATATATTTTTTTTATAGAGAAAAAGAGAGAAAGAGAAAAAAGAGCGCGCGTAGTTTAATTGTAAGATACACAAATATTAAACATGATCTTCGATCAGTCAGATGGACACACACACACACACACACACACACACACACACACACACATCCGGTGAATTTGTACGTTTCCGTTCCACCGGAATCTTGCGGTTGTCCGTTCGAAATAAGACATAAAGGAAGAGGAACAGGAAGAGGAGGAGGCTCAAGAGTCGAGGAGTAGAATGACGAAAGAAAAAAAAAGAAAATAAAAATGAAAGACGAACGTTGTCCCACGGTAGCTCGTCGTCGGCTAGACCAAACAAACAATCTTTATCTTCTTTATGGTTGCCCGCTTATCTCCGTCCGGCGACTAACTCTCAGCAGGTTCTGTGCCTCTTTCTCGCCTTCCTACGCAAAGAAATCCTTTGTGTTCCGGCATACGTTCTCACGATGGAAGAAAAGAGAGAAAGAGAAAGCGAGACGAAATGCAGAAAATTTGAATAAATCTCGCGCAGCGTCGTGAATATCATTTCGCTAGACTTTACGGAGTGTTCCGCATCTTTAAGCGGGCACTGAAAACGGTTCTCTAAGTACCGGTAAAGTTTTGAGAAAGCCATGCCGGTGCACCCCGCGCAACGAAACTCGGGCAAGCTTCGTTATAACCGCCGTTCAGAAACCTTTGGTGTTCTTTATGAGAGAGAGAGAGAGAGAGAGAGAGAGAGAAATCTTACATCGTTTAGTCGATACCGAAGATAAATGGTTGCGTTGAAAAACGGATGGCTTCTTTTGTAAATAACTGTCCCAAATTTGTAAAAATAAATCAGAGAATTGAGATAAATGTATTCAATGGAATATTTTGCAAAATTTTTTTTATATCCTCTATCTTTTTCCTCAGAATAATTCATCCAAATCAGTGTTACAATTCTTCTTACTTCTCTTTGTTTATACGTCAACAGAGATGTACTGTTTTATATAGGTATAAAATTATTGTGGCTTTTGGTTTGGATACGTTGAGAATGTGAAATTTATATAAATCGACACATGTGTGTCGAGAAATCGTTGCGACATTTCCTGACAAACTGAGATCGAGCGCTAGCGAAGTACAAATAACGATGAATTGTTCAATTCACTAATACTGCTTTCTCGCAAGACGGGAGAGAAATCAATTTATGAAAATTCTAACAGATACTTTCAAATATAAAAGAATATCAATATTCTCTTTGTGTGTTCATCAAAGAATTTTTACAATAAACTGACTGAATAAAAATTGTCAAGACACATTTTTAATCGTGGATTATTCGCAAAAAAGAATAAGTGATATTTATGAAACAAATTATGCAATAAAGATTTCTAATAATAAAGACTCTTTAAAATTAAAGTTATTTCAATAATTTTAAATGTTAATAAATTCATATTTTTATCATTTATTGTCAAATGTGTGGTTTCTTAATTCTATTCTGTGTATAATACAGAATGTCCGATAATAGATAATCAAATCACATCTCGTGAGCAGGTAGAAATTGAGTAAAAAAGTGCTAGTTTGCAAACTTTCAAATAATTAATGAAATATTAATAAAAGTCTACGAATAAGTATGAATCCATGAAAAAACAATACGGTGCGCGTTTACGCTAAGAACGTGATAAGATAAGCTCTATGAATGGCGTTAACTAGGAGCGATTCGTAATTAAATATATGTACTTGTACCATTCGTAGAGCACATCTCCAAACATTCGCGCTCTTAGCAACCGTAAATGTATGTAAAGTTAGGATATCTTCGAGCGAACACACGATTATTCGCAGATCTTTATTAATTAATATCTCATCAATTATTTCGAAGTTCGCAAAGTGTAAAGGACTTTGCTGTTCAGTTTAACCCTTTCTAGCTGCTCACGAGAGATGATCCGATTATTACAGTACACGAATTTGGTCTTAAATAAATTACTAAAATCAAAATTAAAACTTGCTTGTAAAAAATCATTAACATATTTAAAATGAAAATGTGAATTTCGATCTAGAACGACAGTGTGGATTAAAAATAACGGTACGTAGAAAATGCAAGAATATAATCCGAAATATTCTATTCTTTCATATATGTCATGTAGAATTAATTTTATTCTATGCTCATTCAAATTAAAGTATATTAAATATACACATTACCGGATAATATTTTATGTGTGTATATGTGTATTATATATTTACTTTGTTAAATTAATTTCACCATATTAATAGAGATATAGATAATTAATCATATCTTTATCATCCGGTGAAAGTAATTTAACAAAATCAAATAATAAGCATGTCCACCTAATTCAATATCGAGTCCATTTCGCCCTCTTTCGAGGGATGACTTTGCAATATAGCTATACAGGGAGAAACGTTCCTCGTGATCGCTTATTGAGACGAGCATGAATCGTGAAATTCGTCCGAAGTCGCGTGTATCCGTGCGGAATCAATTCGCCAGGGTTTCCGCCGGAAGAATGCACAGAGCGATTTAGGTTTCCTTTTATACGCGGATTTTTTAACCAATTTGGACTAACTTTCTTTCAACAAAAATTGGTTGAGATACTAATCTCTGTGTTATAAAGACTTTAAAGATTTTCAAGAATAAAGTTTCAAGCAAAGTTTCATGTATATTTCAGCAGTATACAGTATTATCCGATCAAATTTTCAAAAAGGGAGTTTCAACTTCAAATTCGGAGAATTCATACGCGAGAGCACTCCGAAATACACGGATTGTCAGGAAAAGCGGTCAGCAAAACCGAGAGCTCATCGGCGTTTTGTATAAGTTTCGGTTAACCGCTGACGAACGATCGGCAGCGATCGATCGTGAGGAGATAGCCTCGGTGGTTGCGGATAGAAACGATGCAGTGAACGCGAAAGAGGCGCATTATCGTTGCGTTTCTGCCTGTGACGCGTGGAAAAAGTCCTGGAATGTGATAGTTGTTGGCTGCGCGCAATAAAATCGTTCTGCATCAAGGCGACCGAATACTCTTGGTACGCTAATAAATTATAGAATCCGCCGCACTGTGGTTGACGATGCTTGCGAAAGGTTTCACCGGATTCGCAGTCTCATTAGGCCTTTAATTGCGGCAGTTGAGATCTCGGAAAACCATAAAGACGAATAAAAATTCGGTCGCTTTCCCGGAAAATAATAAATTTCGACTGCGTGAACTGATAATCAAACTGGTTCGTGTCGTTTCTGACGAATGCTCAACTCGCATTGCTATATTTTCGCCAAATAATCGCGGTTAAATATACGAACTTTATCCACTTTATCACTGCGAATCACAATATACATTTTAATTGCAACATAATGCTGATTCCACGATTATGTAAATAAAACAATATTCTGATGCATGTTTCCGCATTAATGCAAATAATGGTTTAAATGCAATATTACACGTGTAATTTAACAGATCGCACACGGTGGGTAAATATAACATTTTCAGAGACAGATTCCGGTAAAATTAACATTTGTTCATGTCTAAAATTCGTTATGCGTAACAATAAGTATTTCATACATTTCTCGGTACAAAAATGAAAAGCATCGACACAGCCTACGCAAGCGGACTTTGCGAAGAAAGATTGTTCTCGCATGCACAAATGACGCGAGTCCCCTGTGAAAGGAGCATATGGCGTTTTGTATACGAGACTAGCGTCTTTCTGCGTCTTGCCTTCTTTAAGCTTTTCGATGCCACCTGTTACGTAAATGCGAACGAGTGAGAAAGAGGACTGAGCTTCCTGCGAGACGCGGCCGATTGATTCGTGCCGTAATAATCAAGGAGGACGAATCGCGTCCTTCTTGCAACGGGAGGTGGTCTTCCCATCTCTGATGGCCATTCAGCCGCTCGACAACCACGAATGCACTGCCATGCGCCACGCCGTGTGGTTATAATAATTCCAGCTAGCGATGGCACTGATACCCTCGCGGTGCCGAGCTATCGAGTACCGTACACACGAGGTACCTTCCGCAAGTTATTGTTAGCCGGCAGTAGCTATACTACGAGATATCAATTCATTTAAACGAGCTATCAATCCACCGCAAACATTGGAGAGAATGAACGAAGTACCGAGAGATTTCAACGAGGCAGTGAATAACAACACGTTTATAGAGTTGAAAACGCCTCTTGACACAAGATAAATCAATTCGCTTGCTAAATCTAAGTTTCACGATTAAAATTGATAAATCGTACTCTACGTGAGTTCCTTGATAAATTAAAAAGATTTAAGGTTTTCTTTTTAAGAAAATCTAATTGCGAAAGAATTACTATTGAATTATATATGTATATCCCAAATCATGATAAATCTTAAAAAAAAAAAACACTTATCATAAATCTCGGAATGTTTCGCGTTCGAAACTAAATTTTTACAACGCTCAAAAATATTCTATGTTTTTTTTCAGATAACGAGCAAGATGCCGAGTGACATCGTCGAGATTGCGTACATGTCGGAGAAGAAGCAGCGGTTAAATTAAGCTGTTCAAAATGACTCACCGTTGATATGCATTTGTGGCTCGGCGAGATGAATTCCAGGCCCCGCTGTCCTTCGCCACTGAAACATCTCTGTATGTTGCTCATGAACTTGCGGCGGATCGCCTTGAGCGAGTACACGCACAAAGCTGAGTGCGGTCGCGGCACGTCACTGTTGGGCCCGTCGCTCTCGGCGAACACAGCGAAGAGCACGTCGTCCTGAGCGGTGATGCCCAGGTCGCCGGCGAGTACCGAACCGGCCTTGCCGACGTAGGCGGCTTGCACCAGATTGTAGATACGCTCGTCACTAGTGCAATTAATCGGTATCTCCGTATACGAATAATAATGCTCGTCATCTTGGCACACACGGACCAATTTTGACAGATAGATCGGCGTCTCCGTATTTTTCATTTGTGTAGTAAGGAAATAACTAAATCCACCGCTGCTGAATCCGTAGATGTAGTTAATAGGATAACGTTCACGCGACAGAGAGTTAACGTACATTCGCGTACCGGTTGTCACTGCTGCTTCTGCGATGTTCAACATCTTGTCTTTGTCGAGGGAACGCGAGCTCACGGCCGGCACTTCCGAGCGATAGGGTGAATTGCCCGTGAAGGTCACTCCGACGTACATGACTTGAGAGACCGGTGGATTTGGCGGACCAGGTGCAATAAACGCGACCGTTGACGCGGTGGCATTGTTTGCCACCACTGCTTCCTTCACTTCCTGCACCACATCCGATATGTTGTGCAGATTGCGCACCGTGCACATGCCTTGAAATAGGCTGCCGCAGGAGATGAGCCGCGTAGTGGTGTAATCGATCACCAGGGCCTTGTTTACGTTGTCGACTGGCCGCTTTTGCGCCTCACGGGGGCAGTCTAGCATCGAGCACGCTGTGGAATCGCCCTTCGGTCCGGTGACCTCCTTTACGACCAGCAGCAAGTCCGGTGACAGCTGATAAAGACGATTAACTGCGCCTACGTACACCCGGCCTGTGTTCTTGTCCACTACCAGGTGGTTCATGCGTTCCACTTCTGGATCGTGGAATTTCTGTACTATATCGGCCGGTAACGAGCGCGTTATCGGCAACGATAGTGATAACATGAGGATCAGGATCAGCGGTAGCGACAGGCGACACCAACATCGTCGACGCGGTCGCGATATCAACCGCGCCACCCTCATCGTCCCCGTCGTTGTTGCCGGGAAGACTGACAACATGTCTACTCTACTTCCACACTACGGACTCCGTCGCGCCTTCCTCCCACCACCACCTCCTCCTCCTCCTCCTCCACCTCCTCCTCCTCCTCCTCCTCTTCCGCGCTGTCCGGCGATTGTGGCGGAGGTGGCTTCTTCCTTGAGCCTCTCCCAGGCCTATAAAAGAATAAATAAAATATTTGATTATTAAGATAATAGATATACGTACTTGATGAGACGCTAAACAGTAAAGAAATATATCATAAGGGGCAATAAATTAAAAAAATTTTTTTGAAATTGTATGCATTAAAAAACTTCTCCCTACCATACATATTTCTTATTTATACATTATGTAAAAGAAAAAATCATTTAAAAAGAATATGTTTCCTGGCATATATAGTGCCAAATTCTTTCTCTGTTCATTGTGATAAAAATTAAATTTACGGAATAAAAAATAATTTTGATGTATATTTATAATTTAAAAATACATAAAAATTGTTACATACAATAATTTTGTCTCTATCGGCATTCAACTTTTCTAATTAATATTGCCTTTGGAAAATAATTATAAATTTCTTTGGCTTTTAATTTATCTTTCTGTAGACATTCGTCTGCTATTGTAACTACTATTAGTAGCACCAAGGAATGAAACATTATACGCAAGAGACAGTATTCACCATACATAATTGTAACGATTATCTTCTCAGACTCAAGGTGAGAGCACCTCTTGCACGCAACGTAATCTACTTTCGATCGAAGGGAAAGGTGCAATTAGTTCAACGACACGGAACAATTATTGCTGAGAATGCACGATAACAATCAAGCATAATAATGCGCAATGTTGCAAACTGCGCTTCCAGAAATTGTAAATATTAAAAATATCTTAAAAAATATTAGGCATAGCCTATTATTTAAGACTCAATCAGATAAAAAACAAACAAAAATTTAGTGCTTTTTTATTTCTAATTTGCTTAGTTATGTCAACTTAATGAATAGAAGTCTTATTTTTTATTATCATCTATTTCTTAAAACAGATGTTTTAAAAGTATGTTGGTACTTCTACATTTTTTAAAAATTCACTTAGGAATGCCAACTTTACAGATCTATCCGTTAATATTAAAATATAATGATATAATCTACTAATTATTATTTATTATTACTTATTATTATTAACCATTATTCAGTTTATTAACGTTTTTAATAATAATTTAGAAACAATTCAAAATACTGTTTCATTGTTGATTGATATCAGAGACACAATCTATCACAGTTTTCATTGAATTTGTAATTTAAATAGGATTATGCTGGAATGATGGAGTATCTGAAAGTTTTCAAAAGTTAGGAATGGAGTAAGAAAATCAAAAAGACATGTAGTTTAATAAAAAAATCAAGCATCAAAGTCAAAAAGATATAATTCATCAAGAGATATCTAATGACATTAATATCTTACGGTATTATTCTAATGCATAATAATTGCGGGATAATTTTTCTGAATAAAAAATAGTAGGTACAACCAACTCTCTCTTGTCGATAATCAATTAGCAATAAATAGCACTGTAGAGAACATTTTGTTTTTTTACTTTTTATGTGCCTTTTTCTATGTGCTGGTTATAAGCTTAAATTGATACAGTCTATTTTTATCAAATCAGCTGAGAATAAAGAATAAAAAATAAATAATTGCAAATAAAGCAACAAATTAGCAACAAAAAAATCACTAAATTTATATCTACGTTATTCGATTATATTGCAGTAGTTGTGTCAGCTTAACAGACGTTTTCAAATGTTTACATAAAAGATAAATAATATTATATAAAACTAATAATTAAATGAACCGATTTGGCGAACGCACAAATTAGCGTACCAACATCAAAGGCAAAGACATTTAAATGACGTTTCGTTAATAGAAAGTAAGCATCTCTACGTGATCAGGAATCCTCCTTAGCGATCGCTCGGCAGTTCACGTTCTCACAGGATCCAAAGAAGGAAAAATACTTAGTAGGACGAAAATAACGAGATCGTAGCGGCAGTGAAACGAGAGGAATGTACGATTTATCGAGCAAGAGAAAACCAGGTGCTTTTGAAACGTGCCCCCGACGCATCTCGTCGACCCCCTCTTAAGAAAATGACTTCATGCAGCCGGCGAGCATCGGAAAAAGCGAAGGATGGTGAACGGGCGAACGAAGAAAAAAAAGAGAGGCGGCGATCATCTCTCTTTCGTCTCTTATCGCAATACCGAGGGTAACGGCCGATCGGGAACAAAAGTTTTCTTATTTCCTGAAGACCCATTTCCCCCACTCATTCCCGGATTACTCCCCGCCAATTTCACTCGACGTCAATCTCGGTTTATAGTGCTCCGCCCCTAGGAGAAGATTAGAAACATCTGCGTGCGAAAATCTCAAACGCTTTGCGAGATTTTAAAAAATGCTTCAGTCGCAAAAAGTGTCAACGATCCATACATCTTTCTTGATATATATTTTTTATATGTTTAATTGATACATTCACATAATTTTAATATCAATTACATATTTTATCTGTAGAATAAAGTAATATAGAAATAAAGCAATTTTATACAGAATTACAAAAAAGAAATAAAGTGAACAACGCCGTGTTCTAATTTTCTGTGAAACTGTGAAAGTACAAAATATCGTTTTTAATTGAAAGATATTGGAAAAATCATCGAGTTATCAATTATTGCTATTAGAATCTTGAAACTCTTTTCTCAGAATATCAATATTATAAAATAAAAAAGACTAAAATTTATTTACTCATAATTTAAGTAGATTATTATTTATTAAAAAGCACTATATATATGCAAGTAGCTGTCGTTTTTTAGAAGAAAAAAAAATGTTATTTCAAAATGTAAAAAAATGTTCTATTTTCTTCACGAAACTGTAATTTTGCACAACTTCATGAAGTAAAGAATAACTTGACTACCGAAAGAATAATATTATAGTTTCCTACTTCGCGTATTCGAAAAAGCTTGAAAGAAACGATGAATGCTATCGATTTGTTTATTCAACACGGCGTAGTTGCAGTCTAGGTTATAGCAACTTCGATCCAACAGTGCGCGTCATTAAATGACGAATCGGGGAGTCCAATATCGCATAAGAGCACTTGTTCCACGAAAAAAAAAAGATAAAGTTCGCGCGATTGTATGAGCCATTTGCAGTGAGTAAGCAGTACAAGTAACGACTGGATACACAAAGAAAGTAGACCAGGTGACACGTGCACCGATAAGTATTGAATTGACTGCAAGCACGCGATTTCTCAGGAAAGAAACGATGCGAGAATGTGCTGAGGAAAAAAGCTGCTTAAGAACAGTGTCATAAAAAAATCCTTTGATTAATACTTAAAGCAATTTAATATTAGAAAATAATAAATATGTGCAATATGTATACCATATATACATACAGATATATATATACATATCTGTGTATGTACAGGGTGTTTCCAAATTAAATGGCAAAACTTCGGGAGCGTGTAGAGGAGTAAAAAACTAAGAAAAAAAGTCCTATAGACATATGCTC